CTTTCTTTTGGATTAAATAAGTATTTTTATTATTCCATTTTGTTACCTCTGTTAGTTTTTTATAACATGATTGTATGACATACTTCTCTAGATTTTTTTGTTTAATTTTTAATTTTTAAAATTTTTTTAGATTTTTTTTTGCTCCAGAGATTACAATATGCATTTTTAACTTATCACAGTCTATCTTGAGTTAATATTATACCACTTCACATATAATGTAAGAACCTTATTACAGGATTCTTCCATTTACACCGCTCCCATCCTTTGTGCTGCTCTTGTCGTATATTTACTTCTACATATGTTATCACAATTGGTTATTTAAACCTCAAAGTAATGCTGTAGGGTGATATTATTATCCCTGAATTCTAGTTGTAGCTCCATAGCTCCTAGCTGTGTAAACTTGAACTAGTAACTTAATCTCTTAGTATCTTCTTCTGTCAAATGTAGATAATGATTTTACTTACTAATAGGGTTACTATGAAACTTACCTGAATGAATCCAAGTAATGTACTTGGGAAAGTCCTGGCATTTAATAAATGCTCAACAAATGTTGGGTCTTGCCTTATAATTATCCCCATTTTACAGATAAGGAAATAGAGGTTCAGGGAGGTTAAGTTACATACCCAAGGTCACACAGCTAGTAAGTGGTAGAAGTGGAGGTTTTCAAACCAGTTCTACCTGACTCTAACTGAAGGCTTTTAACCAAAGCTGGTTTTGTTTCCTTATCTATGGAGTAAGAATGAGAATGAGAAAGTGATAATAATGGCCTTCTGTCATAGGGCTCTTGAGAGGTTTTATTGAAATAGTGCCTGAGAAAAGTAGTAAATAAACGTGTACTATGGTGGCTGTTGTATCACCAAACCAGATTGTATTGACTATAATTACTTTAGTAGCTCCTACCAGTGTTCACACCAACAGAGGAAACTCCTCTGACATAGGTCTCATAGCAAACCATCAGCTTCACAGAGAAGGGAAGACAACAGACCTATTCTCATGGTCCCTGTGGAGGTGCCAGAGGGGTGTTGACTTGTTAGTCCTGTGTTCTGAACCATGACTGATCCCGTGCCAGGACACTAGTCCTCCTGAAACGGCTAAGCTCTGACGACCTAGTGGAGTATCTGATTGCATTCTAGGCAGGGAGAGGTGTGCTAAACCACGGCCAAATTCTTTATACATCTTTATCCTGCGCCTGAAGAACAACTATGTCTCTCCTTTTCAGCTCTTTTGGCCTCAGAAGCTTCTAAACTAAGCCATCCACCAGCCTGGGAAAGGCAGAGGAAAACGACTCCTCCCTTCTCCTCTCAGCATGCTCATAATACCTGTTTTCACATTCTAGTTCACTAAGAAGACAGGCTTGCAACTGCTTCGACTTTAGGTCCTTTGCATGAGGAATATTTTTTTCTAGCAATTTGTGAGTGGCCACTCTCTATGTTTTAACAAAATTGATTAGCAGGGCAATAATGTTCTTTGTTATAGAGAAGCAGCATCCCGTTCTCCTAGAAGTTAGCTGGTAACTGGGGGTAGAGAAGAAGGGAGGGGTGGTGGTAAGTCCTCTGAGCTCAGAGATGTTTAGGAAACTGGCATATTGGTGGGATCCCAAGTTTTAGCTATGTGCTTATAATTGGCTATGAGTTTCTGGTTCTAGTTGACATCCATTATGAAATGTGTGGTCTCTTTGTATTTAAATTTTATCACATGCCTTTTTTGTGTGTGCAACTAGCAATGAAAATGCTCATTTTTGAAATACTGTAGAGTGCCTTTGGTAAGATTAGAAAAGAAAGAGAAACCTTTCAAAGATCCTCTTCCAGGGGTTCTCAGTACTGTTTTACTCCAGTTTTTCACTTTTATAATTTTTATAATTTTCACATAATCTTCATAGTAGCCACCACTACCACCATCATAATTATATAACCTTATATTTTTGTAGGATTCTGTTGTTTTTAACATTGTCTCTGCTATATTACTTTGACAAATCCAGAAGAAAAAGACCAGTCTCACATGTCTTTCACTTTCCTGGAGCAGATGGCAAAACACTCTAATCCAACATAAGACCTCAATGAAAGCTGCATGAATGAATGAGTTCACTGTATCATTTAACTCTCACAAAAGCCCTATGAGAGGGCCAGCCTGTGGCTCACTTGGGAGAGCATGGTGCTGACAACACCAAGTCAAGGGTTAAGATCCCCTTACTGGTCATCTTTTTTAAAAAAAAAAGCCCTATGAGGCTGGCAGGGCAAGTCTTATTCCCATTTTGCTAGTGAGAATATGATGCTCAGAGAGGTCTCAGGTCACGCAGTGAACTAGTGTTGGGTTCAGCACTGGAGTCTCATTCTCAGTTCAGCTTTCAGATATAGTCTCTGGGAAACATTGGCAGATACCAACACTGGCTTTTAAAGTTGTACTTTTTTAGGAAACAAATGTGCCTGAAGGAGGGCCTCCTCAGTTCTAATTTATAAAACTAGGTCTGTTTTTCCTAAGAAAAAATGTCTTTTGAAAAATTCAGGGGTTCAGATCACCATACCAGCAAGCTGCCAAAAAAGAAAGTATACATGCAAGTGTTTTTCCATATCAATTACTCCAATTTTTGCTGTTGGGGTCTTTTTAAAAATCTAGTTGGAAGTAAAGGAATAAAAAAATCACGTGTTATCAAAATAACATGAAAATCTAATGACTAGAGTGGATCAGTTAAGCTCACTTTGAAGTGGTAATTGGCTCACCTTATGTTGTATATCAAACAAGAAGGCTGCCGATAAGCTCATCCTATGGAAAGTTCTGGGGAAGAGCATGGCTATTTCAGTGGTCAGGACCTACTACACTGAATCCCCCCTGGTGAAGTGGAAATAATCAGGAGATGCTGTGTGGACAATCAATTCTTCATGACTGAATGTTACAGCACTTTCAGTTTGGGAATAAATTCATCAACTTCGACAGGAGGCTTCGTTCTGCTTTTACTACACTTGATCCCAGCCAAAAGGCCAAGAAGCGATGCAGTTCTGTTTCTAATGCTGTGGTTCAGATGAATAAATATTAAGAAGTCTGACAATACCAAATAAGTGGAGATGTGGTTCAGCAGGAATTCTTAACATTGCTGGTAGGAGGCTAAATTGGGACAATCATTTAGGAAAATAGACAATAGTAAAGCTTAGCCCACAAACTGGTTCTGAGGCATATACAAGAGAAACTGTTGTATAGGAGCACCAGGATATATATAGAAAGATGGTTTTAGCAGCTTCGTTTATAATGGAAAAGAGCTGTTTTATATATATATTATATATTTATAACATTATGTGCATTGTATATATATATGTACGTATATGACCTATATATGTTTGTGTATATATCGGTCAGATAGATAATACATACATACATACATAAATACTGGCAAGAGAATAAATAAATTGTGGTATGTTCACATAATGGAATACTGTAATACAGAAGAGTAAAAATGAATAAGCTACAGGTAAATGAAATGATATGGAAGAATCTTGTTTTTTGCTTTGTTTCAAAGTTTCAATACTTTTTATTAAGGGGTATAGAAATATCCATGAAGATAAACAAATGTGATGCAATGACATCTGTCCATATGTGAAGAACTTTCTTTCACTGCATTGTTTTTCTTCACAATGGCCTTCAGATCCCAGGAGGCAGTGATTCTGAGCCATTCCTCTTCTTTTATTACATGCTGCAGGATTTCTGAGACAGTAACCCTGCCCTCAGTCTTCTCATTTATAAATCAAATTCATTTTCAATCCATTGTTTAGAGGGAGCATGTTTTTTTCTGCTCCACAAAGAGGACTTTTTTCTTCACAACTGGATCATAATGCAGGAGAGTCAGTTTCTCCCGTAGTCAGCTTCTCTTGGTGGTGAAGGAGAAACCTGTCCCAGCTTGGCTCACCATTTTTACCAGAATGGTTTTTGACTTGCTCTTGGCAAAGACCCCGGAGAGGAACATGGTGACCGCAACCAAGCAGTCTTGGTAACCCCACATGGAAGACTCTTGAACACAATGTTGATTGAAAAAAGTAAAACCCAGAAGACCACTTAAAATACAAGATTTTTACAGAGTTCAAAAACAAACAAAACTAAACAATATGTTTTTAGCCTATCTGTCTATATCTCTTTTTCTCTCTCTATCCCCAATCATGTGTGTGTAAAACAAGGGAATAATAAGTACAAAACTTAGGGCAGTGATACTTCTAGGAAAGGGAAGGCAGGGAGATGGTCTGAGAATGGCACATAACTTATCAAAAATGCTTTTATTTTTAGACCAGGAGATCAATTCATGGGTGTTTATTTTATTAAAGTATTCCATATATGTTTTTGTATGTTTCAAATAAATACTAAAATGATAAACAATGACAGATGAAAGGGAAGAAGGATAAAAGACCATCTAACAAAGCAAGTGAAATTTCAAAAAAGAACATTGTAAGGAAACAATTTGGCTTCGAACAGTTAGAACATTTATTGGGAAAATATAATAATTTAATCAGGCCCCCTTGCCTTAGGCCCGATTGGGGGTAGTATGGCACTTTCTTTGTAAGCACGTTGTGTGTGTGCGTGGATGGAGTTAGTGCACCCTCACAGCACTGCCACCTTGGCTGGCATCTGCCTTGGGCAGCCACCATCCATGGCCATGCTCTCCAACCTACGGCTTCCAAGGACCTGTTTACCAGTTACCTAGCTCACAGACCTGCATGTGAGGGGCCTGGGGACCCAGCCTGGCATGTGAAGGATTTGTGACCCAGTGTGTGAACTGGCTTGAGGGGTCTGTAAGCTCCAGACCCAGCCCTAGCTCAATAATTGGCATCTCGAACATGATTATGGGCAGGTAAAAGAGCTTGACAACATTCATCAGTCAGTGTTGTAAAATTACATTTTTCATTTTATTAAAGCTCCTTGGAATCCCTGTACCAGCTAGCTGCCAAAAAAAGAAAAAGAAAAAAGAAACTCAAGGGATTCCAGAAAAGTTTAGAAATTGTACCCCACAGGATTATTATTAAGGAGCTGGCCGGCCAGTTAGCTCAGTTGGTTAAAGCAAAGCCTTATAACACCCAGATTGGCCAGCTACCAAGAATGAACGAATAAATGAATAAATAAATAAATAAATAAATAAATAAATAAATAAATAAATAAATAAATAAATAAATAAAAGAGTGCAGCCTCTGGAACTAGACTTCCTGGTCTTAAAAACAAACAAACAACAAAAAAAAACCTCTTGCCTGATCTAAATATAATACAGTTATGTGTCACTTAGCAATTGGGATGCTTTCTGAGAAATGTGTTCTTAGGTGATTTTGTTGTTGTGTGAACATCAGAAAGTGTACTCACACAAACCTAAATGGTATAGTCTGCTACACACCTAGGCTGCATGGTATAATAGTAAGGGACCAACATTCTATATGCAGTCCACCGTTGACTGAAAAGTCGCATGGGGCACATAACTTTTTGTACAAATTATGAAAGTTTGCAAAGCTGATTCTGTCCCCCTCATCTCAACTTCCAATCAATTCCAAGTGTTATGTCTTACTTAAAGCCCTATACTCAAGAGGGAATAATTTTGCCATCCAGTAACATTATACCTAACATATGGACTCTCTAGATTCATGTTTCTTGGTGTGCCCCTGTGGAAAAATATAAAGGCAGATACACCTGGTTTTAAGCGCATTTGGTGAGGCATCTATGCTCTACCTTATTTTGTTTAATGAGCCAAAAAGCAGTTATTTTTCTTTTCATTCATGATGTAAATTACCACAGTTTCTGAGGAAAAGAGAAAGTTAAAAGACTCAATTGTCAGCGTTTTGGTAATAGGTGCTAATGTGATACCTGAATCTCCCTGTGTTTGAAAGGATTGCCATGAGTCGAGGTTTAGAGCGAGAGTCTTTCAGGAACTTGGAAAAGGGAAAGAAAAGATTGTCCCTATTAGGTTAAACAGCAAAGAGAATAAAACCAACATGGAAAATCTCCTGAAAGAGATTGGCTGGAAGGAATATCCAAAAAGAGAATGAGTCATTGAGAAGCAATATTTAGTAGTCGAGGAACCAGAGAAAGAAGCCTTTTCAAGAACTATCCAGAAGCAGGAGGTAACCGTCACCACTACTGTGGAGATGGATGTAGGACGTGGTAGCCCATGAATTGTAGAATATTTTGGGAGTCTCCAAGGAGAACAGCCTCCTTGTGAGATGGAGAGCCAGATAAAGTGTGTATCGGGAATAGCAATTTACAAAGAGCTCTAAAACACCACCACAAATGTGAAGATATTGGGGAAATATATTCACTGGAATTTCTCTTGAGGACAGGACTATATGTGTTTGGAAAAAATGTTTGATAAGCTATGGTGCCATTGAGAAACTGGCTCTAATATCCACGAAAGTCTCTGGGCTGCCTTCATTTATTCATTTAACAAACATCTACCGAGCACTAAGTAGATGCTGTTTTAGATGCTGGGATACATTGATGAACAAAGCAGATAGAGTTTCCTGTCTTTGTAGCATTTCTGCAAGGGGAGACAGGCAATAAGCATGTGCATGATGAATAACTAAATTAAATAGCATAGTAGAAGATACATAGTTTATGAAAAAGTAGAAAGCAGAGCAGGATAAGGAGCACCAGGAATGGGAGGGGTTCCCCTTTTGAATAGGGTGATCAGGCCATGCCCTACTAAGATGTTAGCCTTTGGGCAAAGACTTGAAGGAGGTGAGGAGGTGAACCATGCAGACATCTGTAGGAAGATGATCCAGGCAGAGGGAGCAGCGAGACGGCATGTCAGGGGCTGAGAGCAGGGAGCAGGGGTTTGAGCAACTTCTTAGGAGGGAGGGTCCCAGTTAACTGCAGGATTATATTAGTTGCTTGGATGAAAGCCATTTTATTCCACCCTTCCTGCAACCAGAACTCCTAAATGTTCAAATGTTAGGTTGATATTTAAGGGATATTGGCTTGAAAGTGCACCAAACTAGGAGCCTGCTCAGGAAACCCATTTGTTTCCATCTCTTCTGATGCCGTTAAACTGGGAGAAAAAGGAACCCTTGCACACTGTTGGTGGGAATGTAAATTTGCGTACCGCTGTGGAAAACAGTATGGACATTCCTCGAAAATTAAAAATAGAACTACCTTATGATCCAGCAATCCCATTTCTGGGTATATATCAAAGGACCTGAAGTCAGCAAATTGAAGACAGTATCTGCACTCCCACGTTTACTGCAGCATTATTCACAATAACCAAAACATGGAAACAAACTGTCTGTTGATGGATTATAGCTAAAGAAATTATGGTGTAAGCATACAATGAATGTGTATTCAGCCTTAAAAAAGGAGTTCCTGCCTTTTGTAACAACGTGGATAAACTTGGAGAACATTATGCTAAGTGAAATAAAACAGAAACATAAAGAAAAACACTGCATAATCTCACTCATGTGGAATTTTTTTAAAAAAGGTCAAATACACAGAAACAGAATAAAATGGTGATTACTTGGGGGGATCAGAGAGGGGATGTGGGAGGAGGAAATGGGGAGATATAGTCAGAGGGTACAACATTGCAGATATTTAGGATGTATAAGTCCAGAGATCTAATGTACAGCATGAAAATATATTTATAATGTTGTATTATATACTGAAAATTTGCTAAGAGAGAAGACTTTAGGTGCTCTTACCACACATACACAAAAGAGTAACTATGTGAGATGATGGATATATTAATTTGCTTGACTGCAGTAACCTTTCACTATGTATCCCTATATGAAAACATGTTGTACACCATATATATACATACATACATATCAGTGTGACTTGTTCTGGGTAGGGGAGACATCTAACTTGCCCCTCTTGCTTTGAGTTGAGAACCTGAACCTGAGGGCCTTTACACTAAAATTGAGGCTGAACTAGTAGTAGACCTGCCCCCCCAGGAGCTGCAGTTCAGTTTTGTATCTATCATTTCAATCCCTGAAATTGGATTAAGGCTCTCTTTGACGCTAATGCCCTTAGACACTTTTATGCAGAAGATAACATCAGAGTCTCAAATTACTTCTACAAGGTTTCAAATACTAGGGTACTTCAAAAAGTTCATGGATGCTTATCTACCAAGTGATGGTGACAAAAAAAAAAGTTCATGAAAAAATAGAATTAAAAGATAATATGGGGGGGCTGGCCCGGTGGCGCACTGCTATAGTGCGCCGCTTGGGAGCGCGGCAGCGCTCCCACTGGGGGTTCGGATCCCACATACAGACCGGTTCCCACTCACTGGCTGAGCGAGGGGCGGGTGCAGCACCGAGGGGTGCGATCCCGTTGCCGGTCCCGGTCTGGTACGGGCGCGACCCTGAGGGTTGCGGTCCGTTGCCGGACACGAAAAAAGACAAAAAGGGAAAAAAAAAAAAAAAGATAATATGGGGGGGCTGGCCCGGTGGCGCACTGCTATAGTGCGCCGCTTGGGAGCGCGGCAGCGCTCCCACTGGGGGTTCGGATCCCACATACAGACCGGTTCCCACTCACTGGCTGAGCGAGGGGCGGGTGCAGCACCGAGGGGTGCGATCCCGTTGCCGGTCCCGGTCTGGTACGGGCGCGACCCTGAGGGTTGCGGTCCGTTGCCGGACACGAAAAAAGACAAAAAGGGAAAAAAAAAAAAAAAAGATAATATGGGGACTGGCCAGTTAGCTCAGTTGGTTAGAGCATGGTGCTGATAACACAAAGGTCCAGGGTTTCATCACTGTACTGGCCAGCCACCAAGAAAAAAAAAAAGAGAGATTTCCATGAGGTTTTTTGAGGTATCCTCATATAATGCCCTCCTTACCTGCCTGGTTGTTTTTAAATGTCTAAAAACAACCAGGCAAGTAAGGAGTTTAGACAACTTGAAGGAAAATCAGCAGTAACAACAGACAATAGAAAGTCACACAAGGGCTTCTGATATTGGGACTGTCAGACATAGACTTTAAAATAATTATATTTATAGTGTTCAAGAAGGTA